TGGGAGGGTGGGACGGGGACAGGGGATGGAGGGACAGGGCACAGGGAATGGCTTCCTGCTGCCAGATGGGATATTGGGGAGGAATTCTTCCCTGGGAGGGGGTGAGGCCCTGGCACAGGTGCCCAGAGCAGCTGTGGCTGCCCCTGCATCCCTGGCAGTGCCCAAGACCAGGGCTTGGAGCAGCCTGGGACAGTGGAAGATGGGATTTAAGGTCCCTCCAACCCAAACCATTCTGGAATCCTTTGCTCCTGAGCAGGAAAGTTTTTGGAGCACCCCAAACCCCCCCCACTGCTCCGTTCCCCCTGGTGCTGGCACCGCCCCAGCCCCTGGATTTGTGTCCCCTCTCCGTGCCCAGACACCCGCCAGGGCTTCTGCTTCACGGAGGTGCTGCAGACCATGTGCCAGATGTCCTCCACCAACCGCAACCTGGTCACCAAGTCCGAGTGCTGCTGCAACAGCGGGCGCAGCTGGGGCCCCCAGTGCGAGCTCTGCCCCCTGCCCGGCACTGCCCACTACAAGAAGATGTGTCCCCACGGCCCTGGCTACTCCACGGACGGCAGAGGTGAGCAGGGCAGGGCTGGGCACGGGGAGAATCCTCCTGCAGCTCACCAGGAGCTGCTCCAGTGTTCCCTGCCAGCTGGCAGAATTCACTCGCTCTGGTTTCATGGGAAGAGTTTCAGCCCAGCTCTGCCTTAGCCTTGGATTTTTGGGTTAATTTTAAGGAGTCCCTCTGGCATTCAAGGTCTAAGGATGGCAGATCCAGGTCTGTTATAAAATGAGTTATTTATTAACAAAGGAGAGAACAGATGAAAGGTCTTAATCAGAATTATTTATCACACAGTGTAAAATGAGAACTGCTGGAAGATTACAGCAGAGGATAAACTCTGCAGATATCGAGGTGTTAAAGCTGGCAAAAGGAATAGGATGGGTCAGCAGCCGAATGTAGCTTAACATGGAAATGATGATAATTTAATTTCAGGGAATTAGAAGATTTCTGCTTATTTAAAGTTCAGCCAGAAATCCATTTTATTGAGAGATCCAGTTTATTGAGAAATCCATTTTATTGAGAAATCCAGTTTACTGAGAAATCCAGTTTATTGAGAATTCCAGTTTATCGAGAAATCCAGTTTATTGAGAATTCCAGTTTATTGAGAATTCCATTTTATTGAGAAATCCATTTTATTGAGAAATCCAGTTTATTGTGAATTCCAGTTTACTGAGAAATCCAGTTTATTGTGAATTCCAGTTTACTGAGAAATCCAGTTTATCCTTCAGCTTTAACAGGGGGATGTTTATTGCCAGCTGCCAGCCCACGGTGCCCAGACAGCTCCGAGACGTTTGTCCTGTTTGAGTTAGCTGCCAGATAAGATTTTTTTGGGGGTGATGAGCACTGACAGCTCCTCCCTCCCTTGGCAGACATCGACGAGTGCAAGGTGCTGCCCAACCTGTGCAGGAACGGGCAGTGCATCAACAGCATCGGCTCCTTCCGCTGCCACTGCCGGCTGGGCTACACCCCGGACATCACGGGCACCGCCTGCCAGGGTGAGCCGCTCCCCTCCCTGCCCTCCCGGCCTCCCCTCCCCGGCTTTGAACCCTCCCTGCCTCCGGGGAGCCGCGGGGCTCTGCATCCCCCGCCTCCTTTCGTGGTCCTCTGCACCTCCAAGTCCTCGTTGAGCTCCTGAAGGATGAGTTCCTTGTGTTCCCTGAGCCCAGGTGTGGCAGGTGGCGAGCACCGGGATCCTGAGATGAAATCTGGGAGCTGCCAGCCCCCCTCGGGCAGCACAGCTGGTTCCACCCAGCCCGAGCGCCGTGCTGGCAATCCAGATGTTGCCATAAAAGGCACCTCTGGAATCACAGCTCTCTGCCTCTGCAGCATCTGGCCCAGATTTGTGGTGCTGGCTCAAACTGAGCTGCTCCCCAAAGCCCTTGGCTCTGCTCTCCTGCATCCTGGAGGGTGAAAATGGGGTGTTCACCCAGGAATGCCAGGATCCAAGGGGACACTCACCCCTGAGCCTCAAAACCCGGGATCTCCTTGTGCTCAGGAGCCCCTGAGCGGGCTGGGCCGTCCAAGGGGTGGAGGGGACCCTGCCCAGCAGCACAACCTGATGTGTTTTGTCCCTGGAGTGCAGATCTGGACGAGTGTAACCAGTCCCCCAAGCCCTGCAACTTCATCTGCAAGAACACCGAGGGCAGCTACCAGTGCTCCTGCCCCCGGGGCTACGTCCTGCAGGAGGACGGCAAGATCTGCAAAGGTGAGGAGCCAGGAGCGGGGACAGGGGACAGGGCTGGGCTGGTGCTCGAGGGTTTCACCCTCCCCCGTGCCAGATGTGTCTCCTCAGGGTAAAAATGCTCCTGGCCCCTTCCTGGAGACTGCACAGCAAATGCTGGAGCTCCAAGGAGGCTGGAGTTGTTTGTCCCTGCACGTGGGCCGTGCCTGGCATTGTCACCAGCCAGAGCTGGTGTCACCTCCCCCAGAACTGAGCACCACGTGTGAGGAGCCTGGCCTGAGGAGCTTTGTGAGCTGCAGGAGAGGCAGGGAAACATCTTCCAGATGTGTCTGTGCTAGCCTGAGGTGGGGAGGGGTTTGTTCTCCTCCTGTGGGAACTCGAGGGGTTGTTCCTGGGGCTGGTTGTGTGCATCCACGGGGACACGGAGGTGTCACAGCCTCGGTGGGACAGACCGAGCCCTTGTCCTTGTCCCCGCAGACCTGGACGAGTGTTCCACCAAGCAGCACAACTGCCAGTTCCTCTGTGTCAACGTCATCGGGGGCTTCAACTGCAAGTGTCCCCCTGGCTTCACGCAGCACCACTCGTCCTGCATTGGTGAGTGCAGAATTCCTGCCCTGCGCCGTCCCACGGAGCAGCCCCGGCTCAGGAGAACCTTCCAGACCCTGGCTCTGGAACCCTGCCCTGCTCCAGCCACCCTGGCACTGTCTGCACTGCCCCTCTGCTGCTCAGGGATGGACTGCCAGGTGGGCAGGGATGGCGCCAGGGTCAGGATGCATGCCCAGGTGGGCAGGGATGCATTCCCAGGTGGGCAGGGATGCATGCCCAGGTGGGCAGGGATGCATTCCCAGGTGGGCAGGGATGCATTTCCAGGTGGGCAGGGATGCATGCCCAGGTGGCCACAAAGCCCTGCTGGTGTTTTGCAGACAACAACGAGTGCACAGCTCAGCCCTCCCTGTGCGGAGCCAAGGGGCAGTGCCTGAACACCCCGGGCAGCTACAACTGCGAGTGCCAGAAGGGATTTTCCCTGGACAGCTCCGGGGTCAACTGTGAAGGTGGGTCTGGGCTCTGGTGCTTCCATGGGGAGGAATTCCCGGGGCATTCCCGGGCTCTGAAGAGCCTCAGTCCGGATGGGAAGCTCCAGGAGTGCTTGGCCGACGCTCTCAGGGACAGGGTGGGATTGTTGGGGTGTCTGGGATTGGACTGGATGATCCTCAGGGAAGGGAACGGTCCCATATTCCAGCAGGAGAGATCTCAGCAGCAGAGCAGGGGTTGGAGTCAGGGCCCATCCCAGCAGATATTGGGAATGGGGGGTCACTCAGTTCCAGCTTTGCAGGAAGAGCCAGAGTGGGCTCAGGAGCCCCCCGCCCACAGGAGCAGCCTGGGGGGTGCCAGGGGGCCCTGAGCCCCTGCAGGGACAGGGGACAGGCTCTGAGCTCCCCGTGTCCCTTGGCTGCAGATGTGGACGAGTGTGACGGGAACCACCGGTGCCAGCACGGCTGCCAGAACGTGCTGGGGGGCTACCGCTGCGGCTGCCCCCAGGGCTACGTGCAGCACTACCAGTGGAACCAGTGCGTGGGTGAGTGGGGGGACGTGCCTGGGGGAGCTGTCCCTGCCTGGGGGAGCTGTCCCTGCCTGTAGGGTGCTTGCTGTACCTGTGGGGTGTGTCTGGTACCCCTGGGGTGTATCCTGTATGCTTGGGGTGTATCCTGTACCCCTGGGGTGTATCCTATGGGGTGTATCCTGTATCCATGGGGTGTATTCTATGGGGTGTATCCTGTACCCCTGGGGTGTATCCTGTATCCATGGGGTGTATCCTGTATCCTATGGGGTGTATCCTATGGGGTGTATCCTATGGGGTGTATCCTGTACCCCTGGGGTGTATCCTGTATCCTATGGGGTGTATCCTATGGGGTGTATCCTGTACCCCTGGGGTGCATCCCATGGCTCTGTGACCCCATGGCTCCGTGATCCCGTCATTCCATGACTCCGAGCAGACGAGAACGAGTGCTCCAGCCCCTCTGCCTGTGGCTCTGCCTCCTGCTACAACACCCTGGGCAGCTTCAAGTGCGTTTGTCCCTCGGGCTTCGACTTCGACCAGGCCTTCGGGGGCTGCCAGGACGTGGACGAGTGCTCGGCCGGGGGCAGCCCCTGCAGCTACGGCTGCTCCAACACGGACGGGGGGTACCTGTGCGGCTGTCCCGGGGGCTACTTCCGAGCGGGACAGGGGTAAGGAGCGGCCACCGGGGCCTTCCCGGCTTCTCCTCGCCCATCCCCACACCCTGCTGCTCCCAGGGCTGCCAGCAGATGCTCTGTGGATACACCCAGTGCAGGATGGGGATTAATTAATGGGTTAATTAATGAGACCACCTTGCTGCGGTGTCAGGCGCGTCCTGTGCCGGTTCCCAGCCCCACGCGTGACCCTGCGGGTGTTTCCCGCACGGAGAACCCGGGCGTGGTGACGTTCCCTTGGATTCCTGGATCTGAGCTGGCTCTCTCTGCTCCTCTGCCACCAGCCACTGCATTTCTGGCCTGGGATTTGGGAAGGGTCCCTACCTGCCTGCGCCCCAGGAGGAGGATGAGGACAACCTGCTGTCCCCCGAGACCTGCTACGAGTGCAAGATCAACGGGTACCCCAAGAGGGGCCGGCAGCGGCGCAGCGTCAACGGCACAGAGAGACACCAGGTGAGAGATCCAGGGCGTCCTGCAGGAGCTGGATCCCTTCAGGAACAGTGGATCCCATTCCCTCAGCCCAGGCACAGCCAGTGCCTCATCCATATCTGCCCAGGTTTGGCACCTCCAAACCCTTCTTGGGAAGCCAAGGAATAAAGCCCACGTTTCCCATCCCTGGAAATGTCCAAGGCCCGGCTGGACAGGGCTTGGAGCCACCTGGGATAGTGGGAGGTGTCCCAAGGGGCTGGGACAGGATGAGCTTTAAGGTCCCTTTCCACCCAAACCATTCCATGGTGCTGTTCCTCAGAGGGAGCTCTGTCCAAAACTCTCCCGGGAATTTCAGGAGAGGTCGTTTTAGGGCCTGGAAGGAGAATGGTCCTGAAGCTATTGATCCTCCCCAGGGATGGGGCAAATCAAACCCAGCTGCCCCATCCCTGAGCTTTCCCTGCAATCCCTGAATTCCCGGGATGTCCCTCGGCAGGAGCACGCCGTGAACTTGGCCAGCATGGACGTGGAGGCGCCGCTGTCCATGACGCTGAACCTGTCGGAGCTGGCGCGCAAGGAGCACATCCTGGAGCTGCTGCCGGCCGTGGAGCCGCTGGAGAACCGCGTGCGCTACACCATCGCTCAGGGCAACGAGGAGGGGCTGTTCCGCATCCACCACAGGGAGGGGCTCAGCTTCCTGCACCTGGGCCGCAAGAAAATCCCGCCCGGCACGTACCTGCTGGAGATCGTGAGCGTGGCGCTGCCCCGCCGGAGGGAACTGCACAAACTCGAGGCCGACAACCACCTCGACTACTTGGCAGGGGAGCTGGGCCAGGCACTGAGGATGAAGCTGCAGCTCCAGCTCTACTAAAGCCACGAGAGACCCCCCAGTCCCACCCGACAGCGCAGCCCTGCCCCTCGCCACCCACCCCGGGAACAACGGGATCCGCTCCTGCCACCGCCGGGACAGCCACGGGAAATGTCCCTTGGGATCAGCCATGGGAAATGTCCCTTGGGATCAGCCATGGGAAATGTCCCTTGGGATCAGCCACGGGAAATGTCCCTCTGGAATCAGCCATGGGAAATGTCACTTGGGATCAGCACCCTCTGGGGCTGCTCTGCTCCAGGGGGTGCCTGAGCCAAGCCCACAAGCACAAAGCTCCCGAGAGCCAAAGGTTCCAAGCTCCAGAGGTTCTCCCTTCCCTCTGCTCCCCCCGTCCCCCTTATCCAGGACACTCGGAGCTGGGGAGCCGCCTGTTCTCCAAGGCCACATCCCAGGAAAAGTGAGGGGGGCTGGGGGCAGCCCTGGGGGGAGCTGTGGCTCCGTTGGTGTCCGTGCATCTCCCAACAGCTCCCGCTAATCCTCGGGATGGTGCTGCAGGAGCCATCCCAACTGATCCCAGTTCCCGGGATTGAAGGTGCTCGATTCCCGGGATCAGAGGTGTCAATTCCCAGGATTAAAAATGCTCAGTTCCTGGGATCAGAGATGCTCGATTCCCGGGATCAGAGGTGCTCAGTTCCCGGGATCAGAGGTGCTCAGTTCTCGGGATTAAAGGTGCCAATTCCCAGGATTAAAGGTGCTCGATTCCCAGGATTAAAGGTGCTCAATTCCCGGGATTAAAGGTGCCCGCGGCTCCCGGGATGCTGCTGCTGGTTCCTGCGTTCTGCACTGTATCCATCCACCCTCCCGTATTTATGGAAAACCACCAAGGGAATGCTCGCTCGGTGTTGTCAGGAGTGCATTTTCCTGTAGCTTTACATTTTTCTGGCGGGGTGGGAATTTCTCCTGGTTCGCTGCCGCCCAGGGGTGGGGGATGTGTGTGTTTACTGTATCGGGGCTCCAGGCAAACTTGAAAACTCTTCAAAGCAGCTCCAGACTCTGGATTTTACAAGAGTCCCAGAGCTTGTGACAGGATGGGTGGCCTGATGTTTGGGATTGTTTTTTTTTTTTTTGGTTTTTTTTATTATTATTTTTGGTTTGTTTTTTTTCCAACAGGTGCTTTTTTTTAAAAAAAAAAAAAAACCAAAATCCAAAAAGTATTAATAATAATAATAATAAATTAGCAGAGCTGGGTCTGTGTGTGTGTGTTGAGCCAAAGTCTCAAAGCTCAAGGTTTCCTCTCCTCCTCTCTGGTGTGGTGTTTTGGTTTTTTTTTTATTATTATTTTTTTTTTTTTATATTGCCATTTCTTGCTGGTTGGTTTATTTGGGGGGAAGTGTTGAAACCCCAAACCTGTGCCCCTTGTCCCGCACAGAGAGGTGGCTCTTTGTGGAATTCCTTTTTTGTATCAGAAGCAACGGCAACAATAAAATTATTTTGGGTTAAGTGGGGCTGTGTCTTTGTGTGGGGACAGACGGGGGGGGCAGGACCCACCCAGCTCCAGCCTGGAGCTTCCATGGAGACAGAATTGGGATTGTCCGGCCTGGAGAAGCTGCAGGGAGAGCTCAGAGCCCTCCAGGGCCTGGGCGGGCTCCAGGAGAGCTGGAGAGGGACAAGGGATGGAGGGACAGGACACAGGGAATGGCTCCAAACTGGAACAGGGGAATTTGGGTGGGATATTGGGAGGGGATTCCTGGCTGGGAGGGGCTGGGATGGAATTCCCGGAGAAGCCGTGGATCCCAGGCCGGGCTGGGGGGCACTGCAGGGGCTTGGCCGGGTCGGGCCGGTGCAGTCCGGCACGGATGCTCCTTCCAGGCCGATATTCCCGGTTTTTGGAAGCTCCTCCCGGCTCCCAGCGCAGACGGAGCCCGGTGCCAGCAGAGGGCGGGCGGGACTGCGGCACCCGCGGCCGGGAGAGAGGGGACAGCACCGGGAGAGAGAGGGGACAGCACCGGGAGAGAGAGGGGACAGCACCGGGAGCGGGGACAGCACCGGGAGGGAGAGGGGACAGC